GTTGATGATGAATTTAAAGTAAATGAACTAAAAGCAGGGGAATTCCTCTTTTTTGTTAAAAATACTAATAAAAAGGAAATATTATTTGCTTGAAAAGTCTTTTTACTATTTTAATGAAAAGTCTACAATAGTGTTGTGAATTTAAAATTCACTCTTGATTTCAATTCATTATAGATGACCCATAGACTAATCATTACAATTTAATGTACTTATTTCTTAGAGTAAATTGAGTATCTAATTATCTATTATTGTTACCCATACCAATATTGAATACTTTAAGGTGGTAATGATTATAAAGATATTAATTATTAAACTTTGGATATTTTAAAACATTAAATGATAAATATACAATCTAAATGAAAACTAAGTTTTATAATTTGTAGATAATTGCCAAATAAAGAAAGATATGAAAAATATATCCAATTTTTCATTCTGCTCCAATTAATTGATAAGTATTTAATCATCTAATTGAAGAATTTTAAATGAAATTAAGGTAATGCTGAAAAATGGAAAAGTAAGATCTTATTATAAATAAGCTGAAAAATTAGAACAAAAGGAATCAAAATCGGGGTATTTTTATTCAATTTTTCGAAGTATGTAACATTTAATTTAAAAATTAAAAACAACAATATAATTAATAGATATATGATTGGGAATTTATAATACAGATAAATTATTTTGATATAAGAATGAATGCATATTAAAATGCAAAAAAATCAATCACTAAATTTAATCCTTAAACGTTATTCATAATAACAAAAAAGCCTTTTTTGACATTTTCTATTAAATTTTGAATGAGAGGTTTCACTTGCTAAATTCAAAAACAAATAACCTTTTTATTAAAATGTTTAATCAAGTTTTCCAAAAAAGAAGTTTTAGTTGAAGCTCCTATAAATTAATTTATAAATACATAAAAAGAGACTAAATATTATAAGTCAATTAAGGTCTTATTAATAAGAACCACATTATTGAACAATTTGGATAATTCTTCTAAACTATTTGTTTTAAGTTAACAATAGTATTGATTGTATATCAAAATGGAGATAGTTTTTTAAGTTTAATTAAAATTTACTTAATGCATTAATTATCTTCAAGTTAATGATAAATGAATTTAAATTTTAATGGCTATAATAAAATAAAAAGTATTTAATAAAAGCGAATTAAATGTGGTATAAAATTTGATTTTTCTAAAATAATTAACAAATGTTATCAGACAAAAATAATTAGTAAAAATAATAAATATAAATTTAAAGACTTTGGCTTTAACAAATTTCATAAAAGGAAAGTCTTCTAACCTCTATAATATTCTTATTAAAACTAAATATACAATCAAACTTACTTTTTCAGAAATTATAAAGTCTATTTTTAGTTTGATGTTATCACAAATATGACATAATGGCCTTATTATCATGCATATTTTCTTGCTGATATCTTCGATTTAAGAGAATATTTATATTCATTAATAAAAATTCTAATGAAGAAATAATGGCTAGATTATTTTGATTAAATTATAGAATCTGAATGATGTTCATTTTTTAATTGAGAGAATAAAGGAAACTCCAATAAAATCAAAATTTTTAATATAGCCGCTTTTGTAATTATGCCCTTTCTAAAACCAAAACATTTATTGAAATATTTTCTTTAGGTACTCGTACAAAGCAGCTCATCTTGTACTGCTTAGGAAATTTTAAAAAAATAGGATTTTGGACATACTATTCTTAATTTTTTGATAATTTATATCTTTATGTAATGATAAATTTTTCATACTTAATATAAATCATAGTAAATTAAAAAATGTAGACTATTGATATTAAATTTCTTTTTTTCTTTTTCGTAGATCTAAGGATAACATTCTTCTTCTAATAATAGATAATAGTTGATTAGATATAGTAATAATAACAACAATTTCAAAAACATTTTTATGAATTAGAATAAATTCAAGCTTCGAATTACATTAAATAAGCCATTTAAATAAAGGTTAAGTGATGTTAATGTATACTTACCCAATACTATTTAAAGAATAAAGTTATTTCTAATCTACTTTTATCTAAAATATAAATAATATGCTCAGAAACGATTAAAATAATTAAAAAAAATTAATATCAAATGCAGAGATCATTATTTTTTATCTTTCTATTTAAAAATTACTTAGCTCAAAATAAAAAGTATTTAATATGTATTATAAAAAAATTTTGAAAGATTTAGCTTAAGTATATTTGTTTTGAAAAACATATGACTTTAAATAACTTTCATATTCTAAAAGAATAGCAATTATATATTTAGTATTATTATTAGTAATATGCATAATTTATTATAAAAATCTTAGACTAAATTTAATACTTATAGGTAGTAAAGTGATGGTTGTAGTTCTAGATGAATATTAACAATAATACAAGGGATATACTTGAATCAATATGAAATATTTATATATAACAATAGCTTGTTTTATAATTTAATAAAATCTAAGAATATTGTCAAATTGAGGAAAGTTCCTGTTTTAAATTCTACTTATTTTGTATTAAAATTTTTTATAATCATTTATAAGATAAACTTTGTTGGTATGTAAAGTATTTTTCAAAAATATCTCATTCAATATGATTGGTTTTCTACAATTTGGTTACTTCTAGGAATAAACCTTAAAATATTAATGTTATATTTAATGTTTAAATTTAATATAAAAAATATTTATTTTTATAAAATTTAATCGAATTAGAAAGAATGTCAAAAGAATAATAGTAAGCAGAAAATTAGAATAGCACATGTAAGAAATAAAATAGCATATTGATGTATTAACTTATTATTAGAATATTTTAGTATTCATTTGACAATATTCTT